AAAAATTGCATTGACTGCCAGCACTACAAGGCCACTAACTTAAAGCCAATGGGGTTATATCAAACGGTATCGAGCAAACAGCGTTTTGAAGCAATTGCTATCGATTTGTTTGGACCATTACCTCCCGACGCAAATGGGCTACAATGGATCTTCATCGCTGAAGACATCGCCAGCCGCTGGGTGGAGCTTTTTGCATTAACCGAAGCTACCGCCGAAAACTGTGCAAAACTGCTAATCGACGAAGTAATTCTGCGCTATGGAGTCCCGAGGAAGGTCATCAGCGACAACGGAGTCCAATTTGTGTCCTCAGTGATGCAGAAGGTTTGCTTTTGTCTCAACATAGACCAAGTGTTTACGCCTGTTTACCATCCACAAGCAAACCCCGTTGAAAAGAAGAACCGTGATCTAAAGACACAGTTGGTGATATTGGTTGGAAAGCAGCATCGAGACTGGGCAGAGGAGTTGCCAGCCATACGCTTCGCCATGAACACCACTCCCTGCCAAAGCACTGGTTACACTGCAGCTTATCTAACTTTTGGCCGCGAGCTGAGAACTATTGATGACATTCAGCACGACTTGAGAGCTGTTATTCACTCCGAAAACTTTATTGCGGAAATCACGCCATACTTGAGCACTCTTGCTGAGGTGTTCGCATCTGCTCGTGAATTTGAACTAAGACAGCAAGATGCCAACAAAGCCCTCACCAATCCACGAAGACGTAACCAAGAAAACTTAGAAATTGGTTCCAAGGTTCTAGTCACTACTCACGTTTTGAGCAACGCTTCCAAAGGTGTGACGTCCAAATTCATTCCTAGAAGAGATGGGCCTTATGTCATCATCGCGAAACAAGGAACTACTGCTTATGTAATCGCGCATGAAGATAACCTCCAACAACCTTTAGGCACCTACCATGCCTCGTTAACTCCATATCCAAGTGCTACCAATGCTTCCGAAGAGCCAGTTAACAGGATCTGACGCCGAGGACGTCCCGAAAAGACTTAGAAGGATGCCTCATCGGGTCGAGTGTCAGCATCCTAGGGGGAGACTGAAACGATCTCATATTTTGTTTATTATAAGTTTTTCTAATCGTTCAAATCATATACTATTGTTTGTTTGGGCATCACTGTAAACACCTACTTATATTGTAATAGATCGTTTAACATAGGCTAGAAAATGCAACCTAACGGAGTTCTGTAAATACAATTAAACCTACTACTTGTTCAGTTCGTAGCAACACTTACAGTAGCTCTTGTTGCTCTGTAGAGTATATAAGTCGCGTTGCTGATCTTTAAATTTCAATCGGCTTCGAGCTTGCGCCAAGTAAGGTCACAGTATATACAGTAATAAACCTTTTCGCAGTTTTTCACCAATTGGTCCCCGAGGAGTACTTTTGGGTTGTGTGCACCGTTTTCGTTTTGCGCGCACGGCAACACTTACTGTGGGGAATTTCGCCTCATGATTAGAAAAAGGTCCTTTCGAGGATAAAATATATATAACTGTGTTATTTATGAACAAAATGTAGGTTAAGTAAAATATCAATTACCACGTTTATACGTAGCTATTTGCAAATACCTAACTCACTGTTTATTCGATGGCGAATTTTTTTTTATTTAATATTGCCTGATTATTGAAAAAGAAAATAAAGTTAAAAATGGTAACGGTTTGATTATAAAAAAGCAATATGATGACCATCTTAAAAGAAAATAAACCTAAGACTGGCGGCGTCTTGCGCTTATTTGCAAATAGTATCACTAATCAATACTTATTTGCGTGATTTAGTTATTTGCAAATAAAAAACTAACTCAGCGTTTAAACGGCAAAGTTTACCATTTTGGAAATTGTTATTTGCAAATAATACGTGCTTAAAAACGTAGTAAATGTTTAATTAAGAATATTATCAATATCACGTCGCACAGTGTATCATTTCCATATTCTAGAAAAGATTAATTACATTATTTTATGTCGCCAAATTTCAAAACAACGTCAAGAATGTTTTTAGAAATGCCTGATAAAGATGAAACAATAACAACTAAAAAATTTAAATCAAAGTGTATGGCGGGACGGGGTTTGATTTGGAAAATTACTGAGGGCAATAATATTTAAACTTGTATATTTAAAACTGAATCTCAATGTTTAATTTGTCGGTGTTATGTGATTTATGCAACAATTGCTAAAATATCATTTTGGTCTTATTTTTTTAGGTATGATCCTTTTAATGAATATGCATTTTTGGGAATTTAGTAAACTAGGACTGAGTATTTCAGTTAAAGTAAAACGATGTTGACTTAGACTTATTTTTAGCAAACTATTATTTTTATTAGACCCGAAAACTCGTTATCCGCCACTATTCGATAAAGTTTGTATCTCAGTTTATTTGCCACTCCTCTTAGACTTGAAACAACACAATTTTAGCTGCTGGAAAGTGCAGGTTTTGATGAAATTTTCTTTTTTCTGGCCTACTGGGAATTTCATTTTCTTCGAGTAATTCATTTGCATTTTATCTCGGTCGAGACAAATTCTTGTATTTTTGCTTTGAATAGAAGAAGCCTGATTCATTACATTTCCAATGGTATCCCATTTTTGTAAATAGAGCAAGAAATATTGAACTTATAACGGAATTATGTTGACCCAACTTAACTTTTTTGTCGATATTTTCCACGCCCATAATTAAAAAAAAAATATATTTATTTTTAAGTCCATTTCTGTCAGTTTGTCAGTCCTGTTATAGGGAAATTCTAAATATAAATTTTAGGTATTTTAGCGTTTGTAATTAGTTAAATATTTCAGTTTTTGCATTTTTTAAAATTGCAGTTATATAATAGGGTGGCGTGACAGTAACTATAAATTACCAATTTTTTGTAAAAAGCTTCGCCTATCTTATAACGTACCCTGTGCAAAATTTCATTAATCTATCTTCAATAGTTTTCGAATTACAGAATTAAAAGCAGCTAGATGGGTCAAATCTTACACTGTGCGTCGTATTTATATTAAAAAACGTGAAATTTGTGAATTTATCACGGAAAACTCTAAACTTCCGAATATATTGAAGTATTTATTCCAAAACAAAAAAAGGCTTGCTTAGTTATAGAGACTTCAATGCCTACAAGCGCATCCGCCCAGACAGCTCATTAAGCACACCCAAGTTTGAGCGGAACTCATCAAAAATACTTAACCTCAAAGTATATAATGCGTAGGTTCAGAAGGCGCGGAAGTTGAGCGCAACCCTTGCTAAAAAAATCAGTGATCATAATGCGCCTTCTGAACGGCTTGATACATTAGCTGTCAAATTCCAAACACACAACATGTTGTCTCAAATGATCATAAAAATTACAATCATCTAACACGCAACTGTTCAGTTGATCAGAAGTGCAAAACAACGAGTTCAGAAGGTGCAATCGCAACAGTTACTGAGCTGTTGCGCCTTCTGAACGTGCCCAATGTCACAAAAATGAATCATTCACAAATACAATAGCAATTGCTATAAATTGCTACCGTATAAATTCAAGACACGCATGTGGTTGGAGACTGCGTTGGTTATTGTGGTCATAAGTTCAGCCAACACATTCAATGGTCCCTTACTCGGAGCTGCTCCAATATGATGAGTAGATTTTAGTGAGCCGCACAAGCCACTGCCTCTAGTTAAAAACTGGATATCTTTTTAAAATAATAGGAAAAGTGTTTGTTTACAAAATTATCTGTGCCCTCTGCCTTAGTACGGTTGTTGCGCCCTTTCATACCACAGTAATTTTGTATGCAACTCTGAATCAGCAAAATTAATGCTCCTTCTCATTATTAACCCTGATCACATTTTACCCCCGAGGAGTACTCAAAAAGGTTTATTACTGTATATACTGTGGTAAGGTCTCTCGTCCGGTATTGCTTCGGACAGTGCCTTGCTTTGAACCAAACCCGAAGGTGATTTTCTGTACATGTGTATTGTTCGTGTCTTTTTTTATTCGAATAAACGAATTGCTGTTTAGCGTACCCGCGTGTATGTCTTATTTCTTATGAAGCGCAAGCAAGAGCGATACAAAAACTATTAAAGTCAGTAGGCATTGGAGTTCTACTGTGAATATCTTCTAAATGGTTAGAGTAATCGATTAACTACATCAGACCTTTTTTGTAGAGCATTTAATTCCCTATAGAAATAATTAAAACTCATTTGACAATAATTATTTTTTAGTAAGTTACAAAACTCAAAACAAAAAAATTTATTTTCCTTAAAATACTTCAATCTTTGACCTTGAATATCTTTTAAATGGTTAGATTAATGAAAAGAGTATATAAGACCATTTTTGTAGAGCGTTCAATTTCCTATAAATATTCCAACTGGTTTAACGAACGGGAACGGATTTTTAGGACCTAAAAACCTATAAAAAAGGCAAAATAAGGTAACGAAATATGCTGGAAAAGGCAAAATAAAATAGCGAAAAAGGCAGGAAGAGGCACTAGGTATTGCAAAAAAGGCAAAAAAAGGCAAAACAAAATAGTGAAAAAGGCAGGAAAAGGCAAAAAAATGGTATTGCCAAAAAAGCAAAATAAGGCCCTAAAAAAAACAGAAAATACGAAGAACAATCAAAAAATATATTTATTTTAGAAATTTTTATATTACAAGTAAGAAGAGAAAAACTATGAACTAGTTTCATTATATGAAAAATTTGTACTTTGACTCTTTGACTTTATCCTTTCGAGTTTCTAACTCATAAAACTATAATCTGTATAGTTGTAGTAACATTGAACCACAAGATGCATTTTGAAGTTTTCTGGCAGCATTTTCATTCGATTTTCGCGAAGAAAAGCCTTGAATGTACTAAATGAGCGCTCGACGTAAGTTGATACAAATGGAGCCCAATTTAAATATGGAACGTTTGAAACGTTCATATTATCAGGAATAAGGGCGTATAATTCCAACTTGTTAGGAAATGTCCAATTACATAGAAAAAAGTATCCTTTGGTGTTTGAAAGCCCACTTTGTTATTTTTTTTGTAGGTTAAATTTGAAGTTTTGAAACTTTGTTTTTTGAAGAGTACAAAAATCAAATAGACATTTTTAAAAAGTGGTCTGTTGTTCATCACAGTGGTGTACCAAGACGCTGGAAAAAATGTATTTGGCATAGAAAATGATGCTCTTTATAATGAAATAAAAACAATTGATTTATGATGAGGGACGTAGATAGAGTAATGTGTCAAAATTAGGCGTTTTTTCGTCCACAATTATCAACAAAGTCGAACTTTTTTGGACAACCTAAACATTGTATTGTCATGTATTTTTCTTAAATTTTTTTTGTGAAGCTCTTCATGATATCTTCTTTTAGATACTACTTAAGCCAGACCTTGCACGACCTTGCAACAATGTTAAACTCCACAATATATCGAGCAGAGTCTGTAATGAAATACGAAAAAAGGGTAATACCTACCCAAGATTTGCTTCTAAAGGGATCAAATGTACCACATACCCCCATTATTTTTCCATCCCCAACAATATTTTCCTGGGAACATATCCCTATATCCTCTCCTTTGGAAGGCCCCATACAAAAATTAAATTTTTTTATATAGCTGGCCAATCTCATATTATATGTAAAGAATGTTTTCCAACCGGATTCATAGTTTAGGAGCTAACCATTGATACATATATAGAAAATTTTGCATAATAAAAAAAATAATAATAAAAGAAATACTTTCGGTAAAAATATCAACATTAAAGAACTTGTTAACTTCCGCATACTTGGACGCCAAAGCATGATATTCTATAAATACAATAAGACCCTGCTCATCTAAATTGGATAACAAATATAGAAGTTATTAGCACTTAAGTGGAGAGACATAATTTTTTTTGTGTATAAGTTGGCTTTGTATAAATTCTGTTATG